CTTTTGCATACAGCACAGTTATTGCCACTGTTGCATTTTTAGGGGCTAAATATGTTAGCTGTGTTGCTTTGCAATGAAGACAACTGTACAGCACCGTTTGCATAAGATTTGTTCCTGGTTTACATCCCTTGCACTGAATCGAAAGTGGATAACTGGAAATGGATAACTATCCATTTCTAGGAATCAAGTCCAGACACTGGAATGTGGTTTGATGGTCTGTTATCTGTTCTATATCTGCTTGTTCGTGTAGTGTTAATCTTTTGGGCTACATCCAGGACTTCAATCTGCACAATGCAGTGAACAGCTCGTCAGACGGTGCTTTAAGGAGTGCCTGATTTGCTTTGGCTTTGCATTCTATTGGTGAAACATAGCCTTTCAGTACCGGCTGAATGTGTTCATTTCTTTTTACCTTACAATATAAAGCGCCTTGAGGCGTTATATAGATAAAGTTTAAATGAAGTAGCCAATCAGAAGAAAAAGCTGGTGAGGAGGGTCGTATGCCATCCTGAAAGCTACTCTGTTCGAATTTAAAAAAATACAGCTGAAACTAAGAATAGTAGGTCTGACGTAATCACTGCAACAACTAACACTTTCTACATTTCTCAAATCAGACTGTAGATCAATTTTGTTGGAAAGATCACTTTCAGGAAATTATGAGGATTTCTGGAAATTACTTGTAAACAAAGTTACTACTTATCAAACATGAGAAACTGAGAAGTCAGTTCATTGGGTCCTACCTTCATGGAGGTTCATGTGCTCTTGCAGGGAGTGTTTGGTGGAAAGCGCTTTGGAGCAGACGGTACAAACAAATGGCTTTTCTCCAGTGTGCATGCGCTGGTGAGCCAGCAGAGTGTGCTTCTGGGTAAAACTCTTCCCGCACACCATGCAGTGGAAAGGCTTCTCACCTGGAGTTAAAGAAAGTAGTTGTACTTTTACAGGTGCGGATGTGATTAGTGACTGCTAAACTCTCGTCAGTTGTAGTCATCTGTACTTTCTATGAGTTTCTATTTTTCATTTTATTATTTTTTTTCAGCACAACATTTGAAAAGTTAAAACATTTATTTTTATTACAGTTGAGGGAATGAAGTCCTTTTTTTAAACGATGTCCAAAAACTCTAGAAAAAAAGGCCAAATTTGTATTAAACCTCCATTCTGACCTCTCTTTAAATCAGAGTGTAATTACCTGTATGAGTGCGCTGGTGAATCTTTAAAAACAGGTGGCTTTTGAAGACTTTTCCACAGTCCTCACATCGTGCCTCAGTGTCAGGGTATTTCCTTTTCCTGCCCCTCTTCCCAGGCTCCTTGTGTCCTGCTGTGTTATTGCCCACTTTGTAGCCCTTATATTTTACCGGTGGGTTGATTTTGCGTTTGCTCTGCCGGTTTTGGTGTTCTTCAGGGTCCTCATTTCTAGGCTGAGACTCAGTTTTTGGATTATCTTCTGCCTGTCGGTCCTCTGAACTCTCACATGGTTCTCTTCTCCCCACCAGCTCTGTCACAGGTGCACCTACAGCTTTCCTCGGCCGCCCTCTTTTGCGCTTCACCAGCTCTGCATCTTCAGCTTTGTTTGCTTGAGCATCATTGCATTTGACCCCTGCTGCAGAGCGAGTTAGGTCAGTGAGCACTTTGACAAGGTCACCGACTTCCATTCGATGAGCTGTGGCCAGGAGCTGCTCTGTGGCGCTCTCCTCCACAGACACCTGGGCGCTGTAGATGAACTCCAGCACTGCTGCAAACATGTTTGGTGCCATACCGTCCAGCCGGTGGGTGGACCGATGGATCTGATCTTCTGCTGTGAACATGACGGAGAAGTACTCACTGCTTGCTGCCAGCAGGGCTTTGTGGGCCTTGAACTGCACATCCTCCACGACAAGAGTAATGTCACACAGCAGGTCACTTTTCCTGAGCTTGTTGAATTTGCTCAGGATGCTCTGTTTATGTGACTCTGAATGAAGGTGAGCCATAAGCGATGAAGGTGGACTGGTTGATTTTTGAGACATCTTTGCCGCAAAAACAACCACATCTGTCCCTTAAATGAAAACGTATGAAAACAAAATGAGTGTACAGTTAGTTTAAAAGTTTATATGAACTCATCATGGGCATGAAGGTCATGTGATTTTGGGCTTTTAAAGAAGACATTTATGCCCATTATGATACGAATATATGTAAACTTCTGACCTCAGCAGTATATATGTTTGGCTTATATCAGAGGTTCAGTGCGTTTTTTTTTAATGTAGCCGAGTAGTAAATTAATAATAATATTTTCCATTTCAGTTAACCAAATATCCATTTAAGGTTCAAAAAGGGGTCTTAAAATGTTGTTTCTTTGTTTCCATGTATGGTAAGACAAGAATGTTATTGGGTAATTTAATGGTATTGCTTGTGCTATAGTGCCTTAAGGGTTAACTGCAGTTTTCCAAAAAAAACTTAACAAGAAATGCATCTTGGGACTTCCTGTTTACTTTTCTTTTTGTTGTGGATGTGGAACGGGAATGTTGTGAAGGAGTTAAATTGTTGGTAAGGAATTGTTAAATATGCACATAACTCATTGAAACATATTGTTATAATTGTAGTGCAGTGGCAAAACGTCAGTATTTTAACAAGATGATGTATTTCTTAAATGTATGATGCAAAGGACCTGTATGTGCAGCGTGGAGCGGCCATTTTCTCCATGCAAGGGATAAGTTGCGAGATCGTCTGTGTGCTCCAGTATTGCAAGTGAGCTGAGATTTCTGTGGAATGTAAGTGTTTATAAAAATGTATGTAACACTTCCACATTTTTTTAAAGGAGCCTTGTGTGATTTAGTTCTTTGTATTTTGTTCTGCACAGACAGAGGCCACTGCCGTATTTTTGTGTTTTGTATTTCATTTCATTTCTTTTATTCCTCGTATTGTATTGGCGCATCTTTGTTTAATCGGTTATTCTGTTACTTTGCCACGTTACCTCTCGTGCTGTGATGTTCAGTACAAGTCCATATGGCCGCTGTTTGACAAAAGTAAAGGTCAAAGGACCATTTATTTGGTTTATTCAGTCGTCATTGACAATAACTGCACATTAAGAACGCCAGTAATTGTGTCCTGTGTGGCTAACCATTTCCCAGGCTACATAAATATATGATCTTTTTCGTATTACCACTGCTATTACTACTTACTCATACATGACCAGAGGAATCTACATTATCCGTTTATCCATTAGTAAATGTTCAGTCTGTAAAAATGTAGGACAAATATTACTAACAGTTTTTCAGGAATTTGTCACATTTAGGACACCAGACATGGTTGGACTGTCCAAATACGAGTCTGTCGTGTAAGCATACATTTGGTATTATAGATCTAGAATGAATTTGTATTACAGAGCTGATTAATCTGTAGTGATCAGTCCTGCTAAACTAACAAATATTCTTCATATTACAATAAAATAAATAATAGAAGTATAATAAACTGTCTATAATGTTGGTTGTTGTTTTATCCTCATGTTTTCAAAATCAAAATTGAACCCATACTGGTATTTACATTCACCTCATACATCTTACAGATATTTTGCACTGTTCATCACGTTCATGCAGAGTTCACTGACATTCAGCTTAAATAATGTTTACAGACGAATGGATGTTAGCAAGCAAGCTAATTGTCTCAAAGCAAACAATGCACCGCCGCTGTCTTGAAAGCGGGGGCACGAGAAGCAGAAATGGCGAAGAATGCGACCGAAATAAAGCTTTCAAAAGAAGTTAACTAATAATTTTCGGTCTGGTGACAGGACTTGGACGTATTAACTGCGGTTTAATTTGAAGTAGTCAGCTTTTAGGACCTTACCTTCGCTCGCTGGACGGACCAGAGCGCGATATGAGCCACCTATCGCGAGATGTGAGGTTCTGACGAGATCCACGCCGAGCCGCCGACCCCTGAGGGTCGCACTTTTCCCCGTCGATCAACCCTTTCTTCTAGGTTAATAAAGGTTTGTTTAAATTGTTAAATAGGTGGCATTATGGGAAATTATTTTATTTTAATAACTCAGTTTTAGTTATTTTAAAAGTCCCACTATCATAGCTAATGAAATTTGATTCAGGAAGTGCACGTTCCAGAGAGAAAAACAGAAACACACAGCACCTGTTGTAGGTCTCTGGGGACATTTTCTGTGCGGGGGAAGAAGGAGACAGTTTTATTTTAGGTGGGTGGATACATTTGGATTGTCGAGCTTTCGGTGTGTATAAGGCTTATTTATCTGTATAGACATTTTCGATTCCTTACAACGCACTGCCACGTGCTTTATTTCATTAGTTGTTAGTTTGCACTCTGGAGAGCCATTCAAAGTTGCGCATTCATATTTAATATCGACACACTTTGACAGAACTGTGCTGCTATATTTGTTGCGATTTCTGCTCTTCTCGGGTAGGTCTAGGGATTTTTTTTTTAATGTCAATGGACTTTGTTTTTAAAGTGAGCCATACAACATGTATTTAGTTTAGATTATACTTCCATATTAAGCGAACTTTCTTCTAATAAAAAATAAATTTCAAAAGAAAGTTTTTATTTTGAAATGCATAACGAAAATAGAATATATTTTCCAACATCATATCAGCTATATTTCACTAATGTCTAAGCTATTCGTACCTTTCCAACAAAGCAGTTGGGAGTGGATTTTTGTATGGTTGCTACAACTTGCAGCTAGATATATAACTGAATTATTGTGTGATAATTCTAAGAAAAATACAGATGATTCATTTAATAAATATACTTCCACAATCTGTAAGACAGTTTCAGCTGCAGCAATAACTAGAATACACATTTATGCATTGTGAAAAAGAAATTAATGAGGAGAGCCTGTTAACTGAAGTTTGGCTGGTGGACCCCCTTTTCATTCCACCATCAATTCATCAATTCCCTCCAAACCTTTCTGGGGAGAACAACCCCCTCTTTAGCCATTTCTGTGCCTTTATCTCAGCTTTTTAATAAATGGAAGGTTGTCTTTTTGCGCTAGTAATGTTGTGGAGTTGTATTTTGTCTCGCATCAATTATATCGTCAGTTATATCGTTATTGCAAATTTTCAAATATATATCGTGATAAATATTTTTGGCCATATCGCCCTGCTCTAATTGCCACTGTGCATTTTTAGGGGCTAAATATGTTAGCTGTGTTGCTTTGCAATGAAGACAACTGTACAGCACCGTTTGCATAAGATTTGTTCCTGGTTTACATCCCTTGCACTGAATCGAAAGTATTTTCAAACGGTGGATAACGATTCATTTCTAGGAATCAAGTCCAGACACTGGAATGTGGTTTGATGGTCTGTTATCTGTTCTATATCTGCTTGTTCGTGTAGTGTTAATCTTTTGGGCTACATCCAGGACTTCAATCTGCACAATGCAGTGAACAGCTCGTCAGACGGTGCTTTAAGGAGTGCCTGATTTGCTTTGGCTTTGCATTCTATTGGTGAAACATAGCCTTTCAGTACCGGCTGAATGTGTTCATTTCTTTTTACCTTACAATATAAAGCGCCTTGAGGCGTTATATAGATAAAGTTTAAATGAAGTAGCCAATCAGAAGAAAAAGCTGATGAGGAGGGTCGTATGCCATCCTGAAAGCTACTCTGTTCGAATTTAAAAAAATACAGCTGAAACTAAGAATAGTAGGTCTGACGTAATCACTGCAACAACTAACACTTTCTACATTTCTCAAATCAGACTGTAGATCAATTTTGTTGGAAAGATCACTTTCAGGAAATTATGAGGATTTCTGGAAATTACTTGTAAACAAAGTTACTACTTATCAAACATGAGAAACTGAGAAGTCAGTTCATTGGGTCCTACCTTCATGGAGGTTCATGTGCTCTTGCAGGGAGTGTTTGGTGGAAAGCGCTTTGGAGCAGACGGTACAAACAAATGGCTTTTCTCCAGTGTGCATGCGCTGGTGAGCCAGCAGAGTGTGCTTCTGGGTAAAACTCTTCCCGCACACCATGCAGTGGAAAGGCTTCTCACCTGGAGTTAAAGAAAGTAGTTGTACTTTTACAGGTGCGGATGTGATTAGTGACTGCTAAACTCTCGTCAGTTGTAGTCATCTGTACTTTCTATGCGTTTCTATTTTTCATTTTATTATTTTTTTTCAGCACAACATTTGAAAAGTTAAAACATTTATTTTTATTACAGTTGAGGGAATGAAGTCCTTTTTTTAAACGATGTCCAAAAACTCTAGAAAAAAAGGCCAAATTTGTATTAAACCTCCATTCTGACCTCTCTTTAAATCAGAGTGTAATTACCTGTATGAGTGCGCTGGTGAATCTTTAAAAACAGGTGGCTTTTGAAGACTTTTCCACAGTCCTCACATCGTGCCTCAGTGTCAGGGTATTTCCTTTTCCTGCCCCTCTTCCCAGGCTCCTTGTGTCCTGCTGTGTTATTGCCCACTTTGTAGCCCTTATATTTTACCGGTGGGTTGATTTTGCGTTTGCTCTGCCGGTTTTGGTGTTCTTCAGGGTCCTCATTTCTAGGCTGAGACTCAGTTTTTGGATTATCTTCTGCCTGTCGGTCCTCTGAACTCTCACATGGTTCTCTTCTCCCCACCAGCTCTGTCACAGGTGCACCTACAGCTTTCCTCGGCCGCCCTCTTTTGCGCTTCACCAGCTCTGCATCTTCAGCTTTGTTTGCTTGAGCATCATTGCATTTGACCCCTGCTGCAGAGCGAGTTAGGTCAGTGAGCACTTTGACAAGGTCACCGACTTCCATTCGATGAGCTGTGGCCAGGAGCTGCTCTGTGGCGCTCTCCTCCACAGACACCTGGGCGCTGTAGATGAACTCCAGCACTGCTGCAAACATGTTTGGTGCCATACCGTCCAGCCGGTGGGTGGACCGATGGATCTGATCTTCTGCTGTGAACATGACGGAGAAGTACTCACTGCTTGCTGCCAGCAGGGCTTTGTGGGCCTTGAACTGCACATCCTCCACGACAAGAGTAATGTCACACAGCAGGTCACTTTTCCTGAGCTTGTTGAATTTGCTCAGGATGCTCTGTTTATGTGACTCTGAATGAAGGTGAGCCATAAGCGATGAAGGTGGACTGGTTGATTTTTGAGACATCTTTGCCGCAAAAACAACCACATCTGTCCCTTAAATGAAAACATATGAAAACAAAATGAGTGTACAGTTAGTTTAAAAGTTTATATGAACTCATCATGGGCATGAAGGTCATGTGATTTTGGGCTTTTAAAGAAGACATTTATGCCCATTATGATACGAATATATGTAAACTTCTGACCTCAGCAGTATATATGTTTGGCTTATATCAGAGGTTCAGTGCGTTTTTTTTTAATGTAGCCGAGTAGTAAATTAATAATAATATTTTCCATTTCAGTTAACCAAATATCCATTTAAGGTTCAAAAAGGGGTCTTAAAATGTTGTTTCTTTGTTTCCATGTATGGTAAGACAAGAATGTTATTGGGTAATTTAATGGTATTGCTTGTGCTATAGGCTTAAGGGTTAACTGCAGTTTTCCAAAAAAAAAACTTAACAAGAAATGCATCTTGGGACTTCCTGTTTACTTTTCTTTTTGTTGTGGATGTGGAACGGGAATGTTGTGAAGGAGTTAAATTGTTGGTAAGGAATTGTTAAATATGCACATAACTCATTGAAACATATTGTTATAATTGTAGTGCAGTGGCAAAACGTCAGTATTTTAACAAGATGATGTATTTCTTAAATGTATGATGCAAAGGACCTGTATGTGCAGCGTGGAGCGGCCATTTTCTCCATGCAAGGGATAAGTTGCGAGATCGTCTGTGTGCTCCAGTATTGCAAGTGAGCTGAGATTTCTGTGGAATGTAAGTGTTTATAAACATGTATGTAACACTTCCACATTTTTTTTTAAAGGAGCCTTGTGTGATTTAGTTCGTTGTATTTTGTTCTGCACAGACAGAGGCCACTGCCGTATTTTTGTGTTTTGTATTTCATTTCATTTCTTTTATTCCTCGTATTGTATTGGCGCATCTTTGTTTAATCGGTTATTCTGTTACTTTGCCACGTTACCTCTCGTGCTGTAGATGTTCAGTACAAGTCCATATGGCCACTGTTTGACAAAAGTAAAGGTCAAAGGACCTTTACTTTGGTTTATTCAGTCGTCATTGACAATTCTGCACATTAAGAACGCCAGTAATTGTGTCCTGTGTGGCTAACCATTTCCCAGGCTACATAAATATATGATATTTTTCGTATTACCACTGCTATTACTACTTACTCATACATGACCAGAGGAATCTACATTATCCGTTTATCCATTAGTAAATGTTCAGTCTGTAAAAATGTAGGACAAATATTACTAACAGTTTTTCAGGAATTTGTCACATTTAGGACACCAGACATGGTTGGACTGTCCAAATACGAGTCTGTCGTGTAAGCATACATTTGGTATTATAGATCTAGAATGAATTTGTATTACAGAGCTGATTAATCTGTAGTGATCAGTCCTGCTAAACTAACAAATATTCTTCATATTACAATAAAATAAATAATAGAAGTATAATAAAAAACTGTCTATAATGTTGGTTGTTGTTTTATCCTCATGTTTTCAAAATCAAAATTGAACCCATACTGGTATTTACATTCACCTCATACATCTTACAGATATTTTGCACTGTTCATCACGTTCATGCAGAGTTCACTGACATTCAGCTTAAATAATGTTTACAGACGAATGGATGTTAGCAAGCAAGCTAATTGTCTCAAAGCAAACAATGCACCGCCGCTGTCTTGAAAGCGGGGGCACGAGAAGCAGAAATGGCGAAGAATGCGACCGAAATAAAGCTTTCAAAAGAAGTTAACTAATAATTTTCGGTCTGGTGACAGGACTTGGACGTATAAACTGCGGTTTAATTTGAAGTAGTCAGCTTTTAGGACCTTACCTTCGCTCGCTGGACGGACCAGAGCGCGATATGAGCCACCTATCGCGAGATGTGAGGTTCTGACGAGATCCACGCCGAGCCGCCGACCCCTGAGGGTCGCACTTTTCCCCGTCGATCAACCCTTTCTTCTAGGTTAATAAAGGTTTGTTTAAATTGTTAAATAGGTGGCATTATGGGAAATTATTTTATTTTAATAACTCAGTTTTAGTTATTTTAAAAGTCCCACTATCATAGCTAATGAAATTTGATTCAGGAAGTGCACGTTCCAGAGAGAAAAACAGAAACACACAGCACCTGTTGTCGGTCTCTGGGGACATTTTCTGTGCGGGGGAAGGAGGAGACAGTTTTATTTTAGGTGGGTGGATACATTTGGATTGTCGAGCTTTCGGTGTGTATAAGGCTTATTTATCTGTATAGACATTTTCGATTCCTTACAACGCACTGCCACGTGCTTTATTTCATTAGTTGTTAGTTTGCACTCTGGAGAGCCATTCAAAGTTGCGCATTCATATTTAATATCGACACACTTTGACAGAACTGTGCTGCTATATTTGTTGCGATTTCTGCTCTTCTCGGGTAGGTCTAGGGATTTTTTTTTTAATGTCAATGGGACTTTGTTTTTAAAGTGAGCCATACAACATGTATTTAGTTTAGATTATACTTCCATATTAAGCGAACTTTCTTCTAATAAAAAATAAATTTCAAAAGCAAGTTTTTATTTTGAAATGCATAACGAAAATAGAATATATTTTCCAACATCATATCAGCTATATTTCACTAATGTCTAAGCTATTCGTACCTTTCCAACAAAGCAGTTGGGAGTGGATTTTTGTATGGTTGCTACAACTTGCAGCTAGATATATAACTGAATTATTGTGTGATAATTCTAAGAAAAATACAGATGATTCATTTAATAAATATACTTCCACAATCTGTAAGACAGTTTCAGCTGCAGCAATAACTAGAATACACATTTATGCATTGTGAAAAAGAAATTAATGAGGAGAGCCTGTTAACTGAAGTTTGGCTGGTGGACCCCCTTTTTATTCCACCATCAATTCATCAATTCCCTCCAAACCTTTCTGGGGAGAACAACCCCCTCTTTAGCCATTTCTGTGCCTTTATTCTCAGCTTCCTGTTCCACCCTGACCTGCTGGGTCTGTGCAGAGGGCAAGTCTGCAAGTAGTTCTTTAAATGGTGAATTTGGAACTTTTCAGACCCCAGAAAAGCACACACATACACATGTATCTCTTATGTGACAATGCAGTAATTAAAACATTGTGTAATTATATATATTGTTCACTATTTGGCTGTTCATCTTCAAGAGCTTTAGTCATAGAAATGTATCATAATTAGTATCAGTAATACTAATCAGTAATCCTTAATGCACTCTAAGAAATGTCAGGGTGTTTGAGAGCCTGTGAGAAAGAGAGCTCTGTTTTGTAAGAGTTGCTTTTTATTTATTTGTAAAAGGCAGGATTGAGGCACCGTGAGTTTTTGAGGTCTCCTAAGGCAATATTAACAACAAAGTCTTTGAAACAAACACTAAATAATGAAATTAACAAAATGATTTTGCAACTTCTTGCGAAGTTGTTCAGGCTCGCTAGAAGTGAAAGTCTCAGGTTCAGCAGAGGACATTGCTGCACATACAGGGTGCTTTGTTCTTGTATATAACCCTAAAAGGACAATCAGAACTGTTATATTTTAAACAGCTACAGCAAATGCAAGACTTGGACATTTGGTACACCAGTAGCCTTTGTTTTATGGATAACTGCATGTACACTGCTCTTACAATGACTGTTTCGTAATGGACAATTTGTCGTTGAGTAACTTTTAAAAGGGAGTCATAACAAAGGTTATTTGGCATTTAGTAAAATTCTCTTGTCGTTTGAGGTGCAGAGCTGCCATGATGAAAAGCGTCAGGGTTGTGGTTGTTGGAGCTGGCGTGATTGGATTCTCCACTGCTGTGTGCATTGTTGAAGCTCTACCTTTCTGCTCTGTTACTTTGATGGCTGACAAATTCAGCCCAAACACAACAAGTGACGGAGCTGCTGGGATTTTGTTTGCTGCACAATTTCCAGGTAAGAAAACAGGATCTGTCTCAGAGATTTACACTACAGCTGCACCACATTATGCAATGTATATAAAAATAAAAACGCAGTGCACATTTGCTTTACATGATGCCTTTCTCCATCAGATATTCCCTTGCAAAGACAAAAACACTGGTTCAAGGACAGCTTTGATCACCTGTTGGCCATTGCTCAGTCTCAATGTGCACCAGAAGCTGGAGTAATGCTGAGCTCTGGGTAGCAATTACTTGTATACGATGCTGTAAAAGTTGAGTACTTAGCCCGATCCATTGTCGAACAACTGATTTCTCTACTAATTTCTTGCAGCTGGCAAATTTTTAAAGAGGTTCCAGCAGTTAAAAAACCATTCTGGTCAGAGTTTGTGATCGGCTTTCGACTCATGACTGATGTTGAACTGAAACGCTTCCCAGATCACAAGTTTGGTCAGGCTTTCACCACCTTAAAATGCGAATGCTCCACCTACCTGCCATGGCTCGAGAAGAGGTTCATCCCCTACATTAAACTTCTTTTATCACGTCATACTATTATATCCACAAGCTTTTAATTACAAATGAACTCTACTTAATTTAAAGTTCGTCATGTTAACATCATAAATTCTTCTCTAAAGGTTCAGAAAAGCTGGAGGTCAAGTGGAACAGAGGAAAGTCAACAATCTTCAAGAATTGAGTAACAGCTTTGATATCATTGTCAACTGCTCTGGTCTCGGCTCCAAAGCATTGGTGGGAGACACACAAGTGTACCCTGTCAGAGGCCAGGTCCTCAAAGTGGAGGCCCCCTGGGTGCAGCACTTCATTAGAGATGGAGATGGGACGACGTACATCTACCCCGGCATACGCAGTGTCACTATAGGTGGGACGAGGCAAGAAGGAGACTGGCGGCTGCAGGTGGACGACAGAGACACTAAGGGCATCCTGGAGCGCTGTAGTAGGTTGGAGCCGTCACTCAACAAAGCCAAAATTCTTAGCGAGTGGGTCGGCCTGAGGCCTAGCAGGAAGAACCCAAGGGTGGAGAGGGAAGTGGTGGAGCTGCAGGGCCGGCCGGTGCCTGTGGTCCACAACTATGGCCATGGGGGTTGGGGAGTTACCCTCGCCTGGGGTACTGCTCTGGACACACTGGGGCTGGTCAAACAGTCCCTTCATGAAATGGCCCCACAGCCTAAACTGTGAACACATTCTACATCCCACTTCTACTCAGGGCTACTAACACACCCTAAGCTAAGCACAGACAGAACACTTAGTAGATTTAGAGTAGATTTTACATAAAAAAAGACTATAAGAAACATGATTTATGGAAATATAATTATTTAATAATTTAATTTAACACTGGTGGAGTTTTAATTTAACTAATTGTTAATAAGTTTTCAGGATATTACATCATTATCATCATTACATCTTTCTGTAACAGTACTGTAAAAACATCAGATTTAAGAAAAAAAAAAAAGCATTTACTGTTGTTATTTTTATGCTTATAATACATAAGAACATTTTCTGTATCACTATTTCAGTGGAGATGTTTTTGCATTGTCTGGAAACATTCATTTTGTTATCATAAAAGCTGATTGCCTGTTAATAATTTTAGGTTCCTTTCACAGCAGATGTTTTGATTGGGGTGTTCCTAATATAATATAAACATTGTGTCAATAAACCCTGAAAAAGAAACTGCTTATTGCTTTTCTAGTTTGCGCCCGTACTTTGCCATCTGGGGCCAAATTGTCTGTATAGGCCAGCTGTCATTATTATATTCTATATTTATATATATACATACACACAACAACAACAAAACACTCAGTTCATATTAACAGTTTGAAAACGTTCCATTACAGTGAACCCAGAAGGAGTAAATTATTCATGAATGCTTTGTGTTGAAAAATGACAACTCTGAGCGAGCGCTGCTGCTTGTGTAACTGTTGGACTCTGCACAGCTCCACTGCAGAGACGAACCAGATTCAGCTGAATGGAGATCACTGAAACTGTGACCGAGGGGGTCAGTAGCGATATGAATGTGGTTTAACAGCGTAAGCACAGACCTTCACGTTTCCACTTTAGATGTCAAGTTTACACTGTTATATTTTCTTTGAAAACCTGTGGTTAGATTTTCAGAATTTCCATTTAGCTGAAAACCAGAAATCAACAGCTGTAAAGACACCTTTCTGTACTGCACTTACTGTACAGACCTTGTTAGAAACCGGCTCCACCGCCAGATTTACTTCTAAGTTCTTTTCGTTTCAGCCGACAAGCTTCAGAAGTGGCTGAAACTGAAGCACCCTTCCTTTCTCCTAGAAAGATGTGCTCTCTGTCGGGCATTACTGTCGGTAAGGGCTCTCGCTCTGGGTTTAATAAGGAAGGTGCAGCTACATGGTCGCTGGACCTTTTGGGTGGAGCTGTGGGTGGCGGCTCTGGGCGTGCTTGCTGTGTTGCTGTGCTGGTACATGCAGCAGTGTATGATGTCCTACATAAAGCGTGGGAGGATGGACGCACGACTGTCAGTGGGTTTTTTGTGCTCTTTATGTACAGATTTAAGTCTTTAGGGCGGAGGAGGAGTCTTCTCTTCTGATCTTTGTGGAGAATCGTCATGGAGAAGCAGCGGCGTAGCGGAGTCTGTGCTGCGTTTCTTCTTAGCTCCATGCAGCTGTGGCTCCTAGCAAAGGATCTGCTCTGAATACAACCTTTTATTGAGCTCAAACCGCGCTTTGGGAGGTTAGGATGGACATGGGGGAAGCATCTGGGTTTACTGTGGGATGAAGACTTGCTGGACTGGATGGAGGCGAGGGGCAGGGGGAGGACAGGGTACTCTGGGGATGGGAGGTGGCTGGACTCAAAGCCAGATGAAGATCTGCTGATGGTCGAGCGTGTCTTTTTGCCCCTTCCTGAAATAAACAAGTGGAGTGTGCGCAGATCATACAGCTGCCAGGCAGTTGTGACATGTATCTGGGTTAAACACAACAGCAGCAGAGCAGGGAGTCTTGGAAAGTGTCTACTTTGAAATGACACCAAAGAGAAAAAAGTCAAAACAAGCAGCTAAATGTGCACTAAAATGAACGATGGGTAAAAGAAAAGCAGCAAGCAGTCAGTTGTGGTAAAGCATGGAGCGATTTATTCCTCACACTCAACCACGACAGAAGCACACTTCAGAAAATGCTGAGACTTCAGGGCCCAAACATGCCACACTTCAATGAGAAGTTGGTTAAACATTTTAAAGTAGCCCTAAGCCCTCTGCATTTTTGTGCATTTACAATGATACAAAATGCCTTATTTTAAACACACTGTTAAGTAAATATTTTAATTCTGCTGCAATATGCAGTCTTCAGGCACGTGATAAAATATTGTGCAACATTTTACTGGACTAAAAAAAATTATATATATACACACAAACATCAGAATCTTAAAGGAAATACACTTTAAGGTGAGGCTGATCTGACATCTTAGTCCAATCACGTGACATTCAGAAAGCACAGCTCTTTGCATTTCGACAGTTTGTAGACTTAAGTCTAAAGAGAAAACCACTGTAAGCATGATACAGCTGTGAATAAAGCGAGCACTTACTGCAAAAATGTACTGTTTTTAATGTAAGTAGACCTAAAGCTTGTTTAAACACTCATCACACAACAGCCACCACTTTCAGCAAATGCAAAAACCACCACACAAGTCAACACTGCGGATCTATTTGTAGATCTGCTCTGCACGCAGCTTCTTCCAAGGCCTGAAAAATGTCACTGCTCAGCTCAACATCAAGTAAGTAAATTTGCTAGTCCCTTGTTACCTGTCCTCTGTATTATGTTGAGAAGGCAAGTGATGCCAACTTTCAGAAGCGCTGGACAGACACGTGACCGCAAAACAGTTTGATTCAGTGATGCAGAAACAGAAAAAAGTATGACGATGCTTGAGGGAAGAAAAAAAACTAACATGAAGCGCTAGAAGTAAATGCGACGACAGCAGAGTCTTTCCAGAAGAGCATGGAAACGGAATCTGGTGGATTGGAATGCTTGAGCTGGAGAGTCTTTCTAGACAGGGATGAGGCAGAGGAGGGCTGAAGAAGCGTACAGTGTTCACAGGCGGGTCAGGCTGTCATTACCGTTCTCCAGGTTCTCATTACTCTCGTAGCAGCCAGAGTCTCGCGGGGAGTCTCCCAAGAGGCCACGCCTGTCCGGCAGCAGCTTCTCCTGTGAGCTTTCAGACTGACCGCTTCGCTCTGGGTCGCTGCTTCCTGCAATGCACAACGCCGCCACCAGGGGCATGACAGTCAAAAGAAAGTCGTGCAAAACTGTGACTTCCAAGTCTAAACATGCATTCTTTCCGATGGCCAGCAGGGGGCAACTACTCAGACTTTGTTAGAAGAAAAAATGCCCCTCAGTCTCTTTACTTTGTGACCTCAAACAATTTCCCGATGTTATGATCCCAGTTGCTAGTTTCAAGCCATACATGAATTAAATGGTAAAATTTTGCAAATTACTGTGGCTATTTGAGTTAAAGAGGATTATGCAGGATTTGTTCATTTATTCTTCAAAATTTAACTATTAAACCATGAGATGCAGCAACAACAGAAAAAATGTCTACAGAAGCTGAAACCAAACTCGGAGTGTGTGTCTACTGCAGACAGTATTTAGATACCGATCTGTACATCTAAACCCTCAAATATTCTAATTTGAAATGTGGCCCTTGGATTGAGGACGTTTCTATGATAGAGCGAGACTTTCTATTGTTTGTCTGACCCACCATCATATTCTTGCAGCAGCTCCACAGCGGTGAGCAACACGGCTCTGTGTTGCGAGTCTGTGATGTTGAGTTCGTCCAGGTCCTCCTCCTCTAGCAACTTAAATGTGTCTAGATCCTCGTAACCGTTAAAAAGAAAGGTGGGCAGGTGCTCCTGTAGAAAGGCGATAATAAAAGGTGCACAAACAGATCCATTAACATATGTAAGAGGGATGCCATTTGAGCATGCACGTCTTGCAAAACAAATATGAAGTTAGCTTAATTTTAAAATTTCCCAACACAGATGAAAATGAAAAATAATCTATTTAAGCTACAGGTAAAATTTGTAAGTTTGACATTTTAGAAAATACTCCTATTGGCCTGCTGTGAGTAAGGTGAAGCTTAAGACTGAGAGGAGAGGGAAGCATCATACAAAATAAAGGCAAATCTCACTAACATGTTAAAACTCTTAATATATAACTATCACTTATATACTTACATATAACTAGTTGCTTTTGCACTTTATTTCCCCATTGATTTAACAAACAGTATGTAACACCTTACTAGTGAGGAGGTGGGGGAATAATATTAGTCTGTACAGATTTGAAGGTGGTTGCTGTTATCAACTCTCAAAAAGAAAGCAAGTAAGTGTACTTCCCCTGAATGTCAAACTGTTCCTTTAAATAGAGCTAAAGCCAATCACATGCAAGTATTTTAGTCACTGCTTTTAATCACAAATGTACGCCTTTCTTTACTTTGAGGTTGATGCGATCAAGCAGTTCCTCCACAGAGGTGGGTTTGGGTTGCCGGGCCTTTCTCCTCCTGCGTGTTTTCTTGGGCTTCACCTCCTCTTCGTTCAGAACATCCACATAAATGAACTTGAAGGTTCCGACTTTACCGTTGAGCATCCCCATCCACGTACCCATCGGAGGCTTACTAATGATTTCGATGATGTCTCCGCTCTGCGAATCGAGATAAGCTGAGCTTGAGTTTTTTTGTTTTTCAGTACGAGCTCATATCTAAGTAGTGAGCAATATAACATAGCCTACCTTCAGCTTTAGGGAGTCTGTGTCATAGGGACTTGGAGTGAAATCTGTGTGAACCAGAGCACGTCCACAGAAGGGTCCACGGTAAGGCAGCTCGTCTTCCTCTCCGTCCTCAGACTTCACACTCTCTCTGTTGCTGTTGGAGGAGTCGGTGGTGCCCACCGTCTGACCACCTGCACGAATCAGAAAAGAAGATGCCACATCAAGACCACAAGTTATCATGGGTCTGTTAGTATCTGACAAATATTATAAATGTTCTTCTTTACTTCAGGAGTTAGTTTTTTTTAACCACAGATGAATACAGCGAGATCAGAATGTTTAGACTACTTCAAAAGCGATAAACATCAAACATCAAGTTTAAACAAATACTGAGAGTTATTAAAATATACACGACACACAGACATACTCATGGAACTTTGTCCGCTGAGAGAACTCCTCAGGCTTTCCACGGACCCTCCTGGCTTCAGTTTGGGCTTCTCCAAAGAGTCCGAGTCTATCTGAGGCGAGTGAGGGCAGCTGGAAGAGCGATCTGGACTTGACTGGAAGATATAAGGACAAAAAAAACATTTATTACACTTGCTTAACAATCCTCACACCCATACTTTACAATGATAACACACATAAATGCTTCTAAAAACATACCTGCTCAGAGAGAGAACTATGGTATCGCTTGGAAATGTGTTTGCGCATCGTCTCTCTCACAGACTTGACTTTTTTACCCAGAGAGATACGAGGTGTTGGTGGGAATTTAACGCCATCTCTCAAATCCCCGTCTCCAGTTTTTATCTAATTTACAAACACAGAGAAGTAAAGAGGATGGAAATAAGTAAATCAGGTTAAACTTATAATTCATATTTATTTAGATGGCTTTAGGATTCCTTGCACAGCTTATATATTTTAATAAATCTTGTGTACTTCACATTT